GGGCAGTCTGGAGGGCTGGGACCTGGCTTTGTCATTGCTTCCTGGGAAAAGGGATTGAGATCACAGGAGAGAGCTTTATGGGGTGGTGGCTTTACAGAGCTTTACACAGTGTTATGTGGGCAACACTTAGCTCCTCACTGGTGTGAGAAGTCAAGGAAGATACCAGTGGCCCAGAAACTCTGGAAAATACCCAAGTCCCATGGATGAGCCAACTGCTCCCAATTAGAAAACTGTTCTTTTCAGATCAGCCTGCTCTATTTTTATCTACTGCTGAATAGCCTGACCCTCCCGCTCCTGAGAGAGGTACACCCTTCACTGAGGTCCAGGGGCAGTGGCATTCCGCAGTGAATGTATTTCAGTTACATTCCTGCAGGAGCCCTGTATCCCCTTCAAGCCTCCCCCAACCCCTGCCAACTCACCAGCCTCCTAGCTCCTTCCTGCTCCACATGCAACCATCTAAGATACTTCTCCAACCCTCCCACATCAAGAATAGGGCCCTCTACTGAAGAAGGGGTGAGGGATTTCACAATTTATCAAGACCTGAGTACAGGCACAGGCCACCTGCTTTCTCCTTCCCTCCCACAATGTTCCCAGATTAATTGTGCTCCTGAGGATATGAGATGTTCTCATCATGCCTCCACAGTTGAGTAAATAGGAAGAACATCTGGTGAATCCCTTCACTTCACAGATGGGCGAAAACCAAGACCCAGGGAGGGAAAAGAACGGGGACTTGATCCTGATCTGAGATCAGGCTCCCAGAGGGAATGGAATGGGTGAGGATGGAGGGGAAAAGGGTGATGGGCAGACACTGAGGCGCAGGAGTCTGGGAGAGAGGCAGGTGTCTCTGCAATGAAGGTGTGCCTGGTGAGGGGATGAGGTGGGACATGTACAGGGAGGGAGGCCAGTGGGATAGCCTACACTGCTGGACTGTCCAGAATGGACAAGCCCTGAATGGCCCCTGGAGCCAGCAGTCTACAGATCACAGAGCTGGGTGCAGTCCCTTTGGAAGTCCACAGGAAGCTGGAGACACAGGAAGAGAAATTCCAGCATAACAGGGTCTGGACCGAAGCAGATAGACTGGGAGTGTTCTCCCACACCAGAAGGGCATGCTTGGGGGTGGACCCAGGCAATTTGGTGGGGCTCACATGCATTCCATTTAGAAGGAGCAGCACTGGCAGAGCCAGGCACAGGCCTGCCACAGCTGACCATCTGTGGCAAACAGTGCTGTGTGGACAGTTGGCATCATACTGTACGCCAAGGGTCTTCATTAGATGACATGGCACCACTGGAAGGTCAGAGTGAGAACAGGTGACATTGCATGCCCAGCCCCCACCTGTCCAACGTTGAGGTTTGAGGTGTCTTTGAAATTGACTGTTTGCTGACCTCTGAAAGGCTGACCCTCAGCCTTAGGTAATCACTGGGAGGAGGGATACGCCATTCAGTGAACAGTGGAACTCATGCTTTGGAAAAAGTAGTAGTGGTAAGGAGTGAACTGGTGAGGAAGAAGGGGACAGGATGTGGCTTGTCCGCTGGGATTGGGAATATGGTGGGTTGGGCTGAGAAAAGAGGTTCCTGACACCCTTTTTCCTTGCATTCCAAGGAGCCACCACTTGGGGATGCCCCAGCCACCTACAGAGCCTCTTAACACTCACTGCTTTGTGGAGAGCAGCATTTCTGGCTCCTGTAAGCCCCTCCAGCCCCCCCACATGTCACCCAGCCTGCCTCCCCTGACTCCTAGAGACCCCAACTTTAGCTGGGGAGGCCTTTGAGGCAAGAACTCTAGCTGGGGAACAGAGCACGTATGCAGCCATGCCCCAGGAGCCATGGAGCCAGTCTGGCAGCAGCATATCCAGGGAACTTGTGTTCGTGTCCTCATTTGTGAAATGAGGGAGTTGAACTAGAACTGGTAAAGACCTGACCTCCTGCTCTCTGTGGTGTAAAAGGGCAGAAAGGGCAGTTCTGCCTAAGTACAGCAAAGCCAACATTGGGTCAGTAGAGCAGGGCCTAAAGCAGAGGAAAGAGGTATTGAGTTGGGAAGTGGGGGGCTTGGGCAAAGCTCAGTCTCAGGCTTGAGAGGCTGGGTTTGGGGGATACACAGAGCTGAGGGGATATGACAAAAGGCCAGGGCTGAGGTAGGAAGGCAGCCTGCTACACAGCAGGTACTCAGATCCAAAAAGGAGTAAACAGCCCATATGCAGGCTGAGATGAGTGGGACCTTTGGCTACAGAAGGGGCCATGCCCCACACACCTTCAACTGCATGGAGGCAGATGTGGAGCTCCATATCCCTTTCATGAAGACAGACTAAGACAGGAGCTGGGGAGAGGCCCTCAGTGGGGGTGTGGTAAGCTAAGGAGGGTCTTGCTTTGGGGACCTTTATGAAAGTAGTCTCCCCTAAAGCAACAGGGGCCCCCCCCACTCCAAGATGGACCTCACCCTTGATTCTACCTCCTCTATCTCCAGTGCCCTTCTGGTCCAGGGCTAGGGGAGGGGGTGTGTGAGGCATCTGGGTGCTGAGTATCCTACAGGGCCAGGACTACTGAGACCATGAGAAGTACAGCAGATTAGCAAACTAGTGAGGGTGGGCAGCCAAGGAAGGCTCTATCAAGAAGGCTGAGCTGGGAGAGAAGGGAAGGAAGGAAGGTGTGGATCTATGTGGAAAGCCATCTACAGACTGGGCTGGAGGCCTCTGGGGCCTGGGTGGTTCTGAAGTTGCCCATGACTTGCTCTTGTCTAGCCTGGGCTAGACACATAAAATGTCCTGCCAGGCCTGATGAGTATTCATTAATGCCACATAAGTGACCTGAGAACAGAGGGCATATGTGGGCTAGGCCAGGAAGGAGCCTGGGTCCACCCAGGACCCCAGGTCTCTCACATGTTCTCTGCACTCACAGGGCAGCCTTTGTACCTTTGTAATTCAAGGCAAGCCTGCTCCTCACTACCGCAGTCAGAACTAAGGCAAGGGGGCCCCTGAGCCCAGGCAGCAGCACCCTTTGTTCCCAGAACAACTCAACTTTCAAAAGCAAATTCATTAAATTCTGTAGAATTCTTAAAATCACATTCTATCTAGAATGTTGCCTTGATAGACAATGAGGAGGAAGAGCAAGGGGTTTCAACTGACTCTGGGGCTGCTAGGAGTCCAGCAAGGCAAGAGGCCACCTTCCCTGAGTCCCCAGGAATGCAGTTCATCCATTAATAGCTCTCTGTGCATGTTACTGTCACAGACTTCACTTCTCCCAAAGGACACACAGTGCAGGGAAGGGTCTTTAAGACCCAAGCACTGGTCCTTACTAGGCCCCCTCTTCATGCACAGGATGAATTCCCAGTGCTAGTGGCTCCCTAGCTTGCAGGCTCACATGCAGGTGGTGAGGAATTCTGCACAAAGGTAACAGCCAGGGGTGCAGCAAAGCAGTGCAGGCTCCCGTGGTGCAGGTGCTCAAACCACAAGTCCCACAACCCCCCACCCCCAAAGGAGCTGCGCTGAGATACTGAGAGCCAGCACCTTCACTGTCCCAGCAGGGTGGACTGGCCACCTGAAGGCTTTTCAGAGCGAATGCAACCACAAGACATGAATGTACTAATGGGTCCCCAACTTGGTGTACTGTCAGGGAACTCTTGTGGTGGGGGCTTGGTCCTTTGCAAGAAGCATAAAGGATAAAGAAAATGTGGTATATATACATAATGGAATATTATCCAACCATAAAGCTCAAAATTACATCGCCTGCAGGAAAATGGATGGAACAAGACATGACACAGAAAGACGTTTTCTCTTATAGTAATAATAGATTAAAAAAAACAAAAGGACATGAGACTTGAAGGGGACTATTTAGGAAACAGGGTGATGAGGTGAATGATTGAATTATATAATATGAAGACATGAAAATGTAATGAAATCTATTATTTTGTACAAAATAATTTGTAAAAAGGAAAAAAGAAGCTAGGAAAAATATAAATGCAATTTACACTTGGATTTTTTTTCAGTGCTTAGAATTGAACCCAGGGCTTGTCAAGCATTCGTGTAGCACCACTGAGCTTCATCCACATTCCTAGGTTTTCTGAGACAAGGGTCTCACTGTGCAGCTCAGGCTGGCCTCAGACTCCCAAGTGCTGAGATTACAGGGACGCACCATGCCTTGCATACATTTGCTTGTTTTTTCAGCTGTTCTTTTGGAATCAAACTTCCTTTTTAAAATCTCGGTAGGCCTACCAAGAGTCATTCACTATCAGAAGTCTTAATTGTATTTCTTTTTTTTTTTTTCCCCCGGCACTGGGGTTTGAACTCAGGACCTCATGCTTACTAGGCAGGTGCTCTTACTGCTTCAGCCACTCCTCCAGCCCAACTCTATTGCTCTTTTGGGTATTTTAAAATCTTTCCTTGATATTCCAATAGGATATGCTGACTGCCATGTACAAAAAAAAGGATAAATAAAATTACTATTTTAATATTGGTATGTATTTTTTAAAAAGAAACTGGAGCACTGGTCTAACAGAAACGGAGTAGAGAAATCTTTCTTCCGGCTACCCTTTGCCAATCTGGAACATGGAGAGAAGTGGGGCTGGAGGTGAGGCCCAGCTCATCTCCTACCCTGAATGCCAATCGGTTGATTCTAACCCCTTCTCCTCTCACTGTGCCCAGTGCTCCTGGGGTCACCCTTTGGGCCAGAACACAACTCTGGATTCCTCCCCTCCCCCCAAGTAGTGAATCTGCACACAAAAACTGGAGGGCTCAGATTCGAATTTGATTCCTGAGTCTGTGGCACTGGGCAGGATGCCAACCTCTACTGTCCTAACACTCCGCCAGGAATTGAAAAGGCCTGGGGCTTTTGCTGGGAGCATGGGGGGCGGGGGGCGGGGAAGGCTAGGCAAAAGGACACTTCGAACAGCAGGTTTGGAGGGGGCCAAGTTGGCCCTAACACCACGACTCCCACCCCACCTTACCCCACCCTTACCGGCCTGGGCTCTCAATATTCTGCCATGCACTAATTTCTCCGCAAGCCAAGGAAGCTGAGGCAGTCAAGGTCGCTAAACCATTTATTTCTCCTGATCGGGAGGGTGGGGGTCGCTGCGGTGAGGACAAGCACAGAATACTGCGTGCGGCAGGGCCCCGGGCAGGGCCGTGCAGGCGAAATCAAGCCAGGGCAACCTTCAGGCGAAAGTGGAGCCGTTCCAGCCCACATTGGCCGCGTTCAAGTCGTAGTAGTTGATGTAGATCCTGCGAGGGATGGAAGATAGGCTCAGGTCTCGGAGCGCTGACAGTGAGCCAGTCTACTCACACCTCCGCAGCGGGTCCGCGCTCCCAATCCTTCCGCATCCCCACGCACCTGTCCGGGCTGATGTGCAGACGCTCGGCCAGCAGGCCACACAGCAACTTGCTGTAGGAGCGGTTCTGTGCGCCACCGATCTTGCCGATGCTGTGCAGGTGTTGGGGTCCGGAGTTGACCACCCCTCAGAGGAACAAAAAGACACTTACGATAATGTAAGTCACAAAGCAAGGTTTATTTCCAGCCAGCTGGGGTCCGGGTATCTGCCCAACGCAGTGGGTTTCAACACGGACCCCGAATACAAAACTCAGGCTGCTTTTATATTTTTTTAGACATTAGTCACGGTTACACAGCAATTTTTATGGTCCCTGGGGTCACATATTTCTGATATCTCCCACATCCTGGTGGTGGGGCCAGCTTACTTGAAGATTATTTATCAGGAATTTGGTAAACACCAGGTGTCTCAACTCATTGACTCACATACCGTTTTTAGCAAGATTAACCAGGAACAGTCCCTGTTCCCAGAAACCGTCCCACCTCCCTTTGTTCCAGTAAGTGGTGGCTTGGGTCATGTTAGCCATGGCGGGTTTCAGGCTGAGTGGGCTGCAAGCCTCAAAGGTACCCTAACGTTTGTACCCTAACATTCCCCCCTTTAGTTGTTCATAATGAGGAATCATGCTCATATGGGCGACAAGCGTAAACATCCTCAGGGCTAGGTAACTGTTCGTATTGCTGTCTCAGGACCATTAGTTGGACTGTACTAACTCGATCTTTCACGAAGGTCACTAGCTTATTCAGAATACAAGGACCAAAGGTTAAGATAAGCAGTAGTATGACCAGAGGGCCTACCAGGGTAGAGACCAAGGTAGTGAACCAGGGGGACCTATTGAACCAAGCTTCGAACCAATTTTCTTGGGCTTCCCTTTCTCGTTTCCTTTTTGCGAGTCCTTCCCTCACTTTAGCCATAGAATCCCTAACTACCCCTGAATGATCAGCATAAAAACAACATTCCTCCCCTAGGGCTGCACATAGTCCCCCCTGTTGGAGGAACAACAAGTCTAGGCCCCCGTCGGTTTTGAAGCACTACCTCAGATAGAGAGGTAAGGGATTTTTCTAGGTGACTAATGGAGGCTTCTATCCTCTCTATATCCTCGTCTATGGCTGCGCGCAGCGAGGACATCCCTTTATGTTGAGTAGCCAGGGAGGCTATGCCGGTTCCTGCCCCAGCCACCCCTAGGCTAAGTAGGGTAGCAATGGTTAATGCAGAAATAGGCTCTCTTCTTCTTTCTCTCACCTGTTCCTGTATTCCAATATGAATATAGGCTCTCCTCAGAATGATAGAGGATGCAGGGCAGCACAGCCACTAGGACACAGAATTCTTTAGAGCCGTTAAACACATTAGTTGATAGGCAAGGGATGAGCCCGGACTGTGAGCATATCCACCATCCATTGCCTTTTGGAATTACCCACTTAATACCATCGCCCCAGGTGGGGTTGTCTTTTACAATAGCACATAGGTCCTGTTTTCCCACTGGCACCTTCCCTAAGCAGGTTCCTTGGCTGCTCACTTGTTGTATGGTCAGACCTCTCTTACGGTCTCCCCAGGAACATTGGGTGGGGTTTTCACTAGTCGAGACATTGTAGGTGACATTTAGCCCTATTGCCTCATAGATTGGGGGCCTCACATCATAGCACAGCCAGCAGGAGGTAGTCATATTAGGGTTGGTGTGGTTCAATGTTAGGAATGTAACATTTACCAGATTCCAGAGGGGGTCTGTGGACCCGGTCATGAGACTGGGCTTCACCAAGGGAGGGCCGGTGCCTAATGGTCCTGGAGTTTTAATACTAGCCTTTGTGTGAGGCTGGGCAGGGACTGGGGTTGTGCGAGGTCGGAGAGGTGGCTCTACATAGGGCGGCTTAAGTACTTTGTTGGGGCCTACCATTTTGGACGGTGGCCCCATGGGCTCAACTTTTAATCTGATTACTATGGTCGAGCCAGAATGTCCACCATATTTATAAAACACAAGTCCCCACACCTTACCTTGTATCCACCTGGGGGTGTCCTCTTTGCACTGTCAGTGAAGGTGACCTTGATTCTATCTGTATCTGTGGGCTGGCATTTATGGGTGGGTGACGGAATTCTGCACCCCCAGGATACCCCGTTTACAAAGGCAAATTTGACTAGGTCCGGTTTTGATATCCCCACTTCCATTCACCATCGTTGGATGTGACACATGCCCATGACTTACAGAAGGAGTATTGTATCCTCCACAGTCCTTGCTCTTATTGTGGCCCGGGCAAGCATAAAAACCATAACGTCGGGCTGACTCCGGGGCAGTAGACTTGTAGGCAGGATTGATGTCTCTGAAGCAGAATTGAAGCTCAGGCCACCAAGTTCCTATGGGGGCAGTGCGAGTAGTCTCGTTAAGGGTGGTATGAGTCTCCCCATCGGTGAGTATCCAGGTTTGCTTATAGGGCTGGTGAGGGTTGGTTTCTGCTAGGCTCCTGCTCTGGGCATTGAGCAAGATCAGAGTGACCAGCCAACCCATCCGTGGCTGCTCCTGAAGACTCTACATGTTCTCGGGGCCTCAAAAGCTTCAGCTTCAATGGGTTGCCTGGGTGCCGCCGTGCGGTCCACTCTCTAGCCTTTTTCTGTTCCTGATGATTGGCTTGACGCACGTGGGAGTGATGGACCCAAGGCCCGATGCCGTCAACCTTAAGAGCAGTGGGGGTAACCAGAATGACCAGGTAAAGGCCTTTCCATCTTTCTTCCAGAGTGCGGACTCTGTGCCTCTTTACCCATACCCAATCCCCTGGGATGATGCCATGTTCCGGGTTCGATGTGTCCTTTGTCTCATACAAAGTGCGCACTATGGGCCAGATTTCATGTTGGACCTCCTGTAGGGCTCTTAAGCTGGCCAAGTAATTTGGGGCCATACTGGGGTCTTGGTCCGGTAGGGTTTGGACAATAATGGGGGGCGGAGCCCTGTATAGAATTTCAAAAGGTGTCAATCCATGTACATATGGTGAATTTCGAACCCGGAAGATGGCATAAGGTAGGAGGGCCACCCAGTCTCCACCAGTCTCGATGGCTAATTTAGATAAGGTCTCCTTTAGGGTCTGATTCATTCTTTCTACCTGCCCTGGGCTCTGGGGGTTATATTCACAATGCAGCTTCCAATTAGTCCCCACTGCCCGGGCCAGCCCTTGTAGGACGTTACTGATGAAAGCCGGACCGTTATCAGAGCCTAGAGTTTTGGGGCTGCCATATCTGGGAATGATTTCCTCCAGCAAAACCTTAGCTACAACCTGGGCAGTCTCTCGTTTTGTAGGAAAAGCCTCCACCCAGCCTGAGAAGGTGTCTATCAGAACCAACAAATACCTATACCCATATCTTCCCGGCTTCACTTCAGTGAAATCCACTTCCCAGCTCCATCCTGGCGCCCTCCCCCATACCCGTGTACCTGTATGTAGGAGTCCCTTTTTGCTGGGTTTCATAGCCTGGCACCCAACACATTGGTCCACAATCTTTTGAATCTGGGCTGTGATGCGGGAACTGGAGGCGGGCCGACTCGAGGAGGGCAAGTAGTTTCTTCTTGCCTAAATGGTTGGCTCGATGTAAATTGGAGAGGAGAAACAGTCCTAACTTTTCAGGAAGGATCAGCCGCCCTTCGATATCATGATACCAGCCTTGCTGATTGGGCTCTGGGCACCAGTGATCTTGGATCCATTGTTTGTCTTCCAGGGTGTACTCGGGTCGCAGTGGCAAGCATGGAAGCTTGGGCATGGGTAAGGTCAGCGCTAGGGTCGTGGAGGCCAAAGCAGCATTTCGGGCCGCTATGTCCGCACGCTGGTTCCCCGTAGCTTCTGGAGTCTGGGCAGATTGGTGACCAGGAACATGTACTACCGCCACAGCTTGGAGCTTCTGCACCGCAGTCAGTAGTCTCTGGCTCTCCGGGAGGTTATGTAACTCCTTTCCTTCCGCTGTAATGAAACCTCTTTCCCGGTAGATGGCGCCATGTACATGGACAGTGCCGAAAGCATAATGGCTGTCGGTATAAACAGTCACTCTTTTTCCCTCTGCCAGCGCAATCAGTTCGGCCTTCTGGGCTGAGGTCCCCGGGGGCAGCAGGGCACTCCAAATTATGTTCCCACCTTGGTCCACCACCGTTGCACCCGCCTTACGCACCCCATCCAAGACGAAACTACTCCCATCTGTATACCATACCAGCTCACTGTTGGGTAGGGTTGAGTCCTGGAGATCAGGGCGCACTTGGGTGATTTCAGCTATAATCTCCTGACAGTCATGTAGAGGGGCTTCCAGGTCCGGATTTGGCAGCAAGGTGGCCAGATTTAGAGAGACCGGGTCGGAGAAGAGGATTCGGGGAGCATCCAGCAAGAGCCCTTGGTAATGAGTCAGTCGGACGTTGGTCATCCATCTACCTGGAGGGTGCTTTAGGACTCCCTCTACTGCATGGGGGGTTACCACCTTCAGATGTTGCCCAAAAGTGAGCTTATCTGCGTCCTTTACCATTAAGGCAACTGCCGCTATGATCCGCAGGCATGGGGGCCAGCCCGCTGCAACTGGGTCTAACCTTCTGGATAGATAAGCAACTGGCCACTTCCAGGGCCCTAGGCGCTGCATTAGTACCCCTTTCGCTATCCCCCTTCTTTCGTCTACAAAGAGGGTGAAGGGCTTTAGAGGGTCTGGCAGACCAGGGCCGGGGCTCTCAAGAGGGTGGTCTTGAGCTCCTCAAAGGCCTTTTGTTGATCTGGCCCCCAGGCCCAAGGGGCCTTGTCCTTAGTTGCCTTGTATAAGGGTTTTGCCAGTTCAGCATACCCCAATATCCACAGCCTGCAGTAGCCTGCCGTCCCCAGGAACTCGCGGACTTCTCGAGCCGAGGTGGGGACGGGGAGTCTGAGAATAGTTTCTTTCATAGCATTCGTTAACCATCTGGTTCCCTCTTTTAGCTCATACCCCAGGTAGGTGACTGTTTGTCTACAAATTTGAGCCTTCTTTGCACTGGCCCGATAGCCCAACTTCCCCAGCTCCTGGAGGAGGTCTCCAGTGGCTTGCCAGCACTCAGCTTCAGATGCAGCTGCCAGAAGCAAGTCATCTACATACTGCAAAAGTGTGACGGAACTGTGGCTCCGGCGATATGAGTCCAGATCCTGATTAAGAGCCTCATTGAACAGTGTAGGGGAGTTTTTGAAACCTTGTGGAAGTCTAGTCCATGTTAACTGTCCGGGGGTTCCCGTATTTTCATCATGCCATTCAAAGGCAAAAATGTGTTGACTATTGGGTGCCAGGGCTATGCTAAAAAAAGCATCCTTTAAGTCCAAAGTGGTATACCAAACATGGGAGGGGGGCAAATGGCTCAGCAAGGTATAGGGGTTGGGGACTGTGGGGTGGATGTCCTCAACCCTCTTGTTTACTTCCCTTAAATCTTGGACTGGCCTATAGTCTTTTCCCCCGGGTTTCTTAACGGGGAGGAGTGGAGTGTTCCAAGCAGAACGGCAGGGCCATAATATTCCAGCCTCCAGGAGACGGTTTATGTGAGGGGCAATGCCCCTCCATGCCTCAGAAGACATGGGATACTGACGGACTCGGATGGGCTGAGCCGAAGCCTTGATCTCTACTATTACCGGGGCTCGATGTTCCGCCAGCCCCACACCTGCTATTTCTGCCCAAGCCTGGGGGTAGGTTTGAATCCAATAAGCCATTTCAGGGGACCACTCAATAGGTTTCGGGGGGAGGGTCCCGCAAGGAGAACAAGCGATGTTCATCCTCGAGAGACATGGTCAAGACTTGGAGGGGCTGTCCTTGTCCATCTGTCACTTTGATACCGTCCGGCTCAAAGTGAATGTGAGCCCTCACCTTAGTTAGCAGATCGCATCCCAGAAGGGGGGCAGGGCACTCAGGAATGACCAGAAAGGAATGGGTCACCTGATGTCGGCCCAAATCCACCTGATGTTTGCTAGTCCATTGATATGCCTTGGATCCAGTGGCTCCCTGCACAAGGCTAATTCTCTGGGACAGTGGCTCAGTAGGTTTATTAAGGACTGAATATTGGGCCCCTGTGTCCACCATGCATCTCACGGGCTTCCCCTCCACATATATGGTTACCCAAGACTCGGGGAGGGGGTCCGAGTCCCGTGCCCTCTAGTCACTGTCCATTCCAGCTAACAGGACTCGGGCGTCATTATTAGGGCTGCTATTTGGTCCCGGGTGACCCTGGAGTTTGGGACATTACTTTTTCCAGTGTCCGTATTCCTTACAATAGGCACATTGTCCCTGGTCTAGCCTGGGTCGATCTCTTCGGGGACGTGTGGGGCCGGACCGAGTTCTGGACGGGCCGGACCCTGGACTCCTGCTAGCAATATCTTAGCCATCTCTTTTTGCTATTTCTTGTTTTCCCTACTCTGTTGTTCCCTGTCCTCTTCCAAATCTGTTCTTGTAGTTCCTGATTCTCCTTCCTGATTCTATCCTCTCGTTCTTCCGGGGTTTCTCAGGTGTTAAAAACCCTTTCAGCTACTTTCATCAGATCCCAGGTAGTCATCTCCCCAAGCCCTTGTTGCTTATATAGTTTCTTCCTAATATCAGGGGCAGCCTGGTTTATGAAGGACATTATCACAGCTGACTGATTCACCTCCGCTAGTGGGTCTAGGGGGGTATACTGTCTGTATGCATTATAAAGACGCTCAAGGAATGCGGCCGGGCTTTCATTTTCCCCCTGCATTATTGCCTTTACCTTAGCCAAATTGGTAGGGTGGTGGGCTGCCGCCCGGAGGCCTGCCATAAGAGTCTGGCGGTAGACCTGGAGACACTCCCTACCTTCTGCAGTCCCATAGTCCCAATCAGGTCTGTTTAAAGGAAAACGATCATCAATCAGGTTTGGCAGGGTGGTCGGTCGCCCATTGTCGCCGGGGACATTCTTTCTGGCTTCAGTGAGAATCCGCTCCTGTTCCTCAGTGGTGAATAGGGTCCGAAGGAGCTGCTGACAGTCATCCCATGTGGGACTGTGAGTATGCAAAATGGACTCGAACAGATCAGTCAGGCCTCTAGGGTCCTCAGAAAAAGGAGGATTCTGGGCTTTCCAGTTGTACAGGTCACTACTTGAAAAAGGCCAATACTGATAGGTGCGTCCCTCATCGGGACCAGCACCACCCAGGGCCCGCACCGGGAGGATGAGGGGGCCTGGTGGAAGTGGAGGAGGGCTCCTCCTCTGGGTTTTCTTCTCGCTGCCTATGGAGCCTGAGTCCCCTCGCTGGTCCAGAGACCAGGGCAGGGGGTGCAGACGGGGAGGCTGATGAGTGGGGAGGCTCAGAGGAGCCAGCTGCCTCTGGCTGGAGTGGTGCAGCAGCATCATATGGTGGGGGATTTACTTCACAATCTGAGTCTATCAAGGATGGATGGAGAGTTGGGTCTTCCTGCAGAATAGGCTTCTTAGGGGAATTAACGGGAGTGGGGGTGTTCCCCGACACGGCCAGTATTGCGGGCCAGTCTGTAGGTGCTCCATGGATAAATGGCCGCAGCCAGGAAGGGGGGCCTTCTACTAAAGTCTGCCACATAAGGACATAGGGATATTGATCAGGGTGGCCATGAAGACCGGGTCTATTAATGACATCTCGGACCTTCTTAATCGTGTCCAAGGAGAAGTTACCTTGAGGAGGCCAGCCTACATTAAAGGTTGGCCATTCCGCAGAGCAAAGGGTGTCAAACTTACCTTTCTTAATTTTCACGCCATAATTGTGTCCCTTAGCGCGGAGTTCTGAAAAATGACTCAGAAGAAGGGTCTTAGGAGTTACCTGAGCCTGTCCCATGATGATCAGGAGAGATGGACAGAGGAGACAGCAAAGAACAAAAGAGACAATTCCAGCAGACAAACAAATTCGCACAGGACTCTCTAACATACACAAGTACCGGCCGGTCAACCAGACCACTCTCACAGGCGCAATTCCATTCACACCAGACTCTGGATCCTTACCCAAAGACCGCCCAAACGGTGTCCACTGAGGACGCTGGCATGGCTCCTGACCGTCGGGGATGTCTCCCATGACTTCCAGTAGTGAAGCCTCCAGGGCTTTAACCCCTTCCTTCCACTCAATGAGAATTCTCAACCAAATTCAGACGGGGACTCTAAGTCCCTCCAAACGGAGGTGGCCAATCCTCCTTCTGCGGTCTTTCCCAATTAAACCTCAGTATCGGAGGTCATTTGTTCCTCTCAGGGAGGGGCTCGGATCTCGGTGGGACCTCCAGATGTTGGGGTCCAGAGTTGACCACCCCTCAGAGGAACAAAAAGACACTTACGATAATGTAAGTCACAAAGCAAGGTTTATTTCCAGCCAGCTGGGGTCCGGGTATCTGCCCAACGCAGTGGGTTTCAACACGGACCCCGAATACAAAACTCAGGCTGCTTTTATATTTTTTTAGACATTAGTCACAGTTACACAGCAATTTTTATGGTCCCTGGGGTCACATATTTCTGATATCTCCCACATCCTGGTGGTGGGGCCAGCTTACTTGAAGATTATTTATCAGGAATTTGGTAAACACCAGGTGTCTCAACTCATTGACTCACATACCGTTTTTAGCAAGATTAACCAGAAACAGTCCCTGTTCCCAGAAACCGTCCCACCTCCCTTTGTTCCAGTAAGTGGTGGCTTGGGTCATGTTAGCCATGGTGGGTTTCAGGCTGAGTGGGCTGCAAGCCTCAAAGGTACCCTAACGTTTGTACCCTAACACATGCTGCAGAGCGCGCAGGGATCGCTCGAGCCGCCGAAAGCCATGAGCTGGTCCGGGACCACGTGCACGGCGATGTACTGTGGGACCGGAACCGGAACGGGGTGGGGCGGGGGGTGCGGTGAGAGGGAAAGCACGGTCAGCCCTCGGGGGCGACCTTGCCAGACCGGGAGTCCGCTCTGGGCTCCAGCCACCATTCTCCCGTCCCCTCCCCACCCCCCCAGCCCTCTGACTTGCTTTGCCTATTGAAACATATCAGTGACTTGAGTGATTCCAGGCAGAAGACTGAAGAACCAGCATCTGGTTGGCCCCTTCTCTGTGATAGTGGATGTGAGTGACAAAGTGAACTCTCACCATCAAGCACTGTGTGCTTCCCCTGTGGTTTCAGGTCGTTACCATAGCCTTGGGGTGGCATCTCTGACCAGGACAGCCTCTGAGCCATTTATCATCTACTCCTACTCTCCCCAGCTGTTTCCAGTAGCAGTCACCTTCATCTTTCTGGAATGGCATCTGAGCAGGTACTGCAGTTCTCAGTCTCACTTCTTGGCTTGGACACTTGGCTAACCTCTCTGAATCTGTTTACTCACCTGTAATTTGGGAGTGACAATAGTGTCCACAAAGAGGTATTGTGAAGACCAGTGGCCGAAATCGTCCCCTTGGACAAGCTGAGCATAGCGGTACACATCTATCATCCCAGCTACACAGGAGGTGTAAATAGAAGGATTGTGATTCAGGCTGACTTGGGCAAAAACACATGAGACCCTATTAAAAAAAATAACTAAAGCAAAAAGGGTTAGAGGAGCGCCTCAAATGGTAGAGGGCCTGTGTAACAAGCACGAAGCTCTGAGTTTAAACCCCAGTACTGGGGGGAAAAAAAGTCCCCCTGGATACTAGAACTAGTACTGTCATATGCTCTAGATGACACCTGGTCCCTTGCCAGCCTCCTTTACCTTCCCTGGTTCTGAGTCCTGCCCTTCCATGCCAGGTTTCCCACTCCTGGCTCAGGCTTTGGTCCTGAGATGTGATTGTCCCATACATTCCCTCATCAGACTCTAACTCATTTTGTAGACCTCAATGTGACCTCAGTGCCTTATAAAAACCCCCTGGAGCCCTGGCTCAATCAAGTTCTATATGTGCCCAACACCTGCCCTATTGTGTGAGACTTTCTCATTGTTGTATTTGTGAGCTAATGCTTTGTGTTTTTAGGCAGCAAATCCCATGAAGGTGGGTACAGTCTCCTTCGTCATTCCTGTATGCCTACCTTGACCCGTTACTTCTACAGTAGGCACACATAACTGCCAAGGAGGTCCACATCCTAACCCTGGGACCTGTGAATGTTATGTCACATGGCAAAAGGCACTTCACACATGTCATTTGGGTTATGGACCTTGATACAAGGAGACTATCATGGAGAATGTAGGTGGGCCCAGTCTTATCATATGGACTCTTAAAAGCAGATGGGTATGGCAGAAGGAGAAGCCAGAGATTCAAAATAGGACTAAACGTGATGTTACTGGCTTTGAAGATGAAGGGGGGGTGAGTGGAGCAAGACAAGGGGACAGTGGACAGAGGTACATTTCACTGGCAGACCATCAGGTGAGAGAGGAAAATCCATACATTTAGGTTTGGATGTAGGGAGCAGAAGAGCCTGATTGGCTGCTGCCGAGGTAGGGCCTGAGACCTCAGTGATACAACTGGGAGGATCTGAAATCTGCAGGCAACCTGAATGAACTTGGAAGTAGATTCCTCCCTAGATGACCTTAAGCAAACTACCCATTCATGTTGCATTGGACTCCTGGTCCACAGAGACCGTGAGATAATAAATGTGTGTTGTTTTAAGTTGATAAATGTGGTGATTTGTTAAAGGAGTTATGGAAAAGTAATATACTTGGCATCTTTAGGGGCTCAATAATCATATGCCAGCAATAGACAAATGCACCAGGATACACTGGCAGGCAAAGCTGCTGCTTCCCACCTTCATGCTCACTGACAGCAGTATCCAGATTCTGTCTGATTAAAATATTGACTGCCCCAGAATCCCTGGCATCTAGACATGGCCACATGGCATGACTATAGCCTGTGCAGTGTCCTGGGTTTATAGGCAAGTGTCTGCTTTGCCAAAGGTGGCACCATTCTGCCCTCTTCTTCCTGTCCCTTCCCTGCCTGGAATTGGACATGACCCTAGATGTATACCAGATGTCAGGGCACCAGGACCTGGAAAAACACAGACCAAGAAAGAGGGAATAGGAACTCAAAGGAGACAAGCACTTGACCTGGTCCCTTCAGCTGCCTTGTGGTTACATGAAAAAAACAAGCCCCCCTCTGCTCAAGCTGCAGTTTGCCAGGGTTTCTGCCATGTGCAGACCCCGTGCAACTCCCTGATGATACAAAGGACTTCTTGGGATACAATACCCATGGGTAATGGCTGCCAGGCAGAGAAAGGGGAGGGAAGAGAACATCAGCTAGATGAGGAAGAAGATTGTCTACATGAGTGCCTAGAAGACCCCAGGGGTGGGCAGCTGGTTGACCATTTCTGTGAGCAGTCATCCACAATAGAGGATGGGGAAGGACAGGGGGCCTACCCAGCTCCCCTCTAAGATGCCGCCTGTTCTTCCCCTCAACATCTCTCCCTAACACTAGCTCAGGAGACCTGGCTGGCTTCTCTATAGTTCTCCCTACTTCTCACTGGTATGCACAGACCTTTCTCCAGCCACATATCCCTTAACGGCTCTCTATCAGGCACTCTGCAGTTCTACAGTGAGAACCAGCAGGACTTGAGCCCAGACCATCTCAATTTTCTAGTGCCTGTGCCCATCTTCAGGGCACTGAACAAGAGAAAAGCCACAGCAAAGATAACTAGCCCCACTCCTATCCAGTCATAGTGGAAGAAGACTTGGAGGGGTATCACCCTACAGGTGACCCCCCTTTCCCACCCAGCCCTACCTGAAGGTATACTTTAAAATACCTGCCAGGACCCCACCACAGAACAACCCCCAGTACTTTGTGAACACACACTGCAAAGTGGGCTGGGTGAGTAGTGCTATCATTTGGAGAGGTGTCCCCTAAAGCCCAGGTGTTAAAGGCTTGCTTGCCAGCCTATGGCACTGTTGGGAGGTAGTAGGAGATGGGGTGTAGTGGAAAGAAGTTTGGTCTTTGGGGATGTACCCTTGAAGAAGATATTGAGATCCTCGCTTCTTTTCTTCCCTCTCTCTTTGCCTCCCAGCTGCCATGAGGTGAGCAGGTTCCCTACCTGATGTTCTGCCTTGCCACAGGCCCAAAAGCAACAGTCACCCAACCAACCACAGAGTGGAACCTTTGAAACTGTGACCCCAAATAAACCTCTCCTCCTTATAAGTAGTTTATCCTAGGTTTTTTTTTTTTCTGATGGTACTGGGGTTTGAACTCCGGACCTCTCACTTGCTAGGCTTTCGAGGCAGTTGCTCTACCACTTGAGCTACTCTGCCTGCCCTGTTTGGTGTTGAGGTTTTTCGAGATAAGGTCTCAAGAATTATTTGCTCTGGCTGGCTTCGAACTGCAATCCTTCTGATCTCTTGTTTCCTGAGTAGCTAGGATTATAGGTATGAGCCACCCATACCTAGCTGTCTTAGGTATTTTGTCACAATGATGCAATGATGGGAAGCTGGCTAACACAGGGAACCAATGGTCACAGCCAGCTTTCTCCACAGGACACTAGGACATTGGTAAGAGCAAGGTGACACAGACTGAATTGCTTAAGCTCTCAGAACCTCAAAGCCTCAGAGCCTGAGTTTCTTTCTTTCTTTCTTTCTTTTGTGGTACTGGGACTTGAACTCCAGGACTACACCTTGAGACACTCCACCAGCCCTTTTTTGTGATGGGTTTTTCCAAGACAGGGTCTCACGAACTGTTTTCCCAGGTTGGCTTCAAACTGAGATCCTCCTGATCTCTGCCTCCTAAGGAGCTAAGATTACAGGTGTGAGCCACCAGTGCCTGGCTCTTTCTTCCTTTCTTTTTCTTTTCTTTCTTTCTTCCTTCCTTCCTTACTTCTCTTTCTCTCTTCTCCCTTTTTCTTTTGTTGTTTTGTGGTACTAAGGTTTGACTGAGGCCCTCTGGTCCTCAGTCTAGCCTCAGTTTCTTCATCTCAAAAGGGGGATGGTGAGTCCTTTCCTATAAATGTGTGTGAAGATTAAATTAGATAAGATGATGAGTGCCAAGTTTCTCATATATAGTAGGTATTCAGTAAATGCTGCCTACTCTTGTTGCATGGTAACCAAACAGTCTGGATTAAGTCATGGACTCACAGGATGGAGATCCTAATGGGCACTGGGGCAGAGTAGGAGACTGTGCTTTCCTTTTTTGTCCCCATCCACCCTCTCTGAATCTCAGCAAAGCTGAGACCAGGCTGCCTGGGAGCCCTCAGCACACAGAAAGTGACAGGAACCACATTAGACTCACAAGAGCCACGAGCAACTCATAGTGACCTGCCCCAAATTTGGTGGTCTATGCTGCTCTTCAGAAATCCTTACCAGAAATCCAAGCCAGGTGTGGTGGCTTACATCTGTAATCCCAGCTACTCAGGAAGTGGAGATTGGAAGGATCAAGGTTCAAGGCCAGCCTGAGCAAAAAGTTCATGAGAACCGTCTCAACTAATAAAAAGCTAGGCGTGGTGATGCATGCCTCTCATCCCAGCTATGCGGGAAGCATAAATAGGAAGGTTGCAGTCCAGGTTGACCTGAGCATAAACACAAGACCCTATTCAAAAACTAACTAAAGCAGCCAGGCATCCTAGCTACTCAGGAGGCTGAGATCAGGAGGATCAAGGTTAGAGGCCAGCCTGGGCAAATAATTCTCAAGAATTATTATCTTCAAAATAACCAGAGCAAAATGGAATGGAGGTGTGGCTCAAGTAGTAGATTGCCCTCTTTGCAAGCGCAAAGCCCTGAAATCAAACTCTGGTTCCAACAAAAAGAAAAGAAAAAGAAAACAAAAAGGTCTGGGGGCATGGCCCAAGTGGTAGAATGCCTGCCTAGCAAGCACAAGACCCTGAGTTCAACCAAAAAAGAAAAAATATCCTGACTTCCTGGAACACAGAGAGGTGTTGGCATACAGATGGGGACAACGGTCATTGGCTATGTAGAAGGGACCAGAGGAGGATATGACTTCCCGTCCTTACAGAACAAATTCCTCCTCCTGGTCTTCAGGCTCACATCCTCCCACT